ATAGTCTCGCGGGTGGGTGGGAAGCGTTGGAACGGGGTCGATGGTTGCAGGCCCGTAAGGATTAGCGCCCTAACCGCGCAATTTTTGCGACGAAGCTGGAGTGATCTAGGTAGGTACGGACCTTACAATTTCCCTCGTGGTATCCCTCCTACTAGTCGGGCTAATCCCGGGGTTTGCCTTTAATTTCTGCTTCTTAGATTTTCGTTGTCCGTTACATTTGAAATGTTCCATCCCCAAAGGTTCCATCGTGATTCAGAGAACGCTGAAGCCACCGTCGTGATTTCTTCGAATACATATCCTATATCTATAAAGTCGTCGTACAGACTCGACCTTCAGCGGTTATTTCTTCTTCCTCGAAGTGCATATGTGCGTGAGTGGTTGAGTAACAAGGTTATGAGTTCTTAAGCGATTTCCAGATGAATAACAAATGGATGTCGTTTCTTACAAGAAGTGAGGCTATCACTACAGAGGCAGTTGGAGCATTTGTGGACCTCGATTTTTCCTCTCGTGTAAGCGGTTTTACGGCCCAGAAAAGAAGGTAAGTCGATGGAGCAATACCAGGATTGCACGGTGGATATGATACTACTGCGCAGCCCATTTATTCCAGAATGTGAGGTCGACCGTCACCATGGAGAAAGGCGACATTTACTTCTCGCAGTACTGTGTCGAGCTTGTGGAGTTGTTCTGGGTAGATCTTGGCAGCAGTTTCCGCTTGCAGAGGAACAGTTCCCAAAAACAGAATGTCTGTCAATTTCAGATGGTCGAGGGCGTGATAATTTTTTATAGCATAGAGCCCGTGGTTTGGCTGAAGTGATGGGGATTGGCCGCGAAAGATATGGTACGCGCGTAACATATTTTTCTCGCAGCAGATTCAGCCACTTCTCCGGAGATAGCCGACTTGGAAAGTCCCGCCAATAGGGTTGAGAGGTGGGGCTCCCCAACGCAATAATTGAACGCCTATGACCAGATTGTTCTCCAGATCTAGAATTGACAGAATTGTCAGAATTCTCTTAGTCAGATACGACCTCTGCACCGGTACATCGTCTGATAGCCATAGTGTCAGGAGCAAATGCAGCCTTGAACTTTTCCAGCTCTTCCTGCACGTTTTGCAGCTTATGCTCGTAAAGCGTAGCCGAACGCGACTGATTTTGATCCACTCGCGGCGTGCGGTTACTTCTATAGTCCTATTTCAGTTTAAAAACTCTTCTTCAGTCAGCATATTTGGCATGACACGGTCTTAATATGAATTCGAACAAAAGTCCATCTTAAATTCATGTGGCCCACAAACCTCCTCCTTAAAAAGCAGAAATGTCGAGTGCAGAAGATAGATGCACCACAAGTGACGACGGCCTTCACAAAATGTTAATGTTTTCTGCCAATGAAATGATTAGCCTGTTGCAGTTGTATTCTATCGATTGTCACTAATTACAACTATCATTTACCAGAAATCAGCTATCACTATGAACAACTTCTAACCAGATTTACTTGGAGGCCGTCGTCAGTTGTGGTGTTTGGTCTGCACCCGACACTTTCTCGCTTTTTGAAGGGAACTATGTGAGGAACTGGTACTATTGCACTATTACAACCCCAGTGGGGGCCGAGATGGGTCAAAAAATAATTTTCGCTGAAACTTCTGCTATGGGGGTTATCGAGGGTCCTGATCACGAATATGACATCCATTTTTGACATTCGTGCTGTTTAACGCATTTTTTCTGCTTTTCTAAGCTTTCTCACCTATAGCGCCTAATACTAAGCTTAGGGAGGGGGGGGGTGAAAATGGGTAAACCACGTGGCAATATTTGGAGTGTGTTAGACGCGGGAGAAAATTTTCCGCTTCAGTATGCTTATATATCTCCTCCCCTCTCCCACCCGCTTTACGATGTTTTTCGGCTTTTCGAGTAGAGAAGGAATTGTGAAGACGGGGCCGTGTTAAGTTTGTCGAAATGGAGGGGGTCGTAAAAATTTTGCAAAAGGTCCCAACGATAGGACCGACCCTGGTCCCGAGCTTTACGGACTACTTGAATTCGAGTCGGTACGGTAAGAGAGTGATGATGAAGTGGTGCAACTAGGTCCTGCGCTCTCTCGCAGGTCCGTCCTCTCTTTAAGGCTTAGTCCTGAGGTAAGCATCAAATTGAGGCGGTTTTAAGGACCGAGTTGAAGTAGTCCGTCGACCCGTCCCCTCTCCAACATTCAGCATACGGCCTCAGCAGAAACGCCAAACGGCTGGTTTGCTCACTTCCTTTATCACACCACGTTGCACAACTGCATTCATATTGACCACAAGTTATCGTACTCATTGCCCTTGGACTGTCGATGACACATTCCAAGATATGGTCGCATAGAGGTATTGAGTACCTAGATAATTTGCAACGCATTCCTCCGTTCCCAACACTCTATGCATCAGACCAAAGTCGAAGATGATCACATCGTAGGCCATGTACTTCTCCTAAAAAACGTCCTAAAATAAGAACACACTAGTATTACTGACTTGTGAATTTTTTCGTTCACGTTACTACTTCGAGATTGATGCGAACTTCCGGTTTCTAGCTGGTTAGGCGTGAAAGGCGCTGTTCATCCGGAAGCAAATAAACCCTAGTAAGCTCATGCAGGTAGGTTCAAAAACCACTACAAGATCACATTTAGCAGAGCAGATGGAAAGAACCTTCAGAGGATCATTGACACAGTGTGCGTATCCGACAAATCCTTTGACGATCAATCCATACCTCGTTTTCCTAGCCAAGAATGTACGCAATTGCAGAACTTATGGAACCCTGGTGACAGGTATTGACACATTTTGATATCACGTAATTTTTTAATGTTCTTGATGCACGGTCCAAGTCTGCAATTACGACATGTCCACCCAATGAAACGAAGTGTGAATAAAAGCGCATCAGATTTAAGTGGTCTAGCAGACCCGATTCGCTCAAGAGTCTCTTTTTGATGACCATGACTGGATTGCTCACCTCAATGGACGCGTTCGCGGGTACGCCTGAGCGACAGAAAAACACGTCCCGATATTTGTAAATCGAGAACACATGCTGAAAAAAGATTTCAAAGCTTAAAATATTTATGAACCTCTAAATTCTCTTGCCTGAAATAGAGAAGTGAGGGACACCGTCAGCTGGAACATGGCGAAAATAGTTGCTAGTGGTCGATTAGGAATTCGAAGAGAGCAAATGCGCGTATCAGGCTCCTCGATGTACACACACCACAGTAACCGCATCTGAAAATCATAAGCCCTGGTCAACTTGTACTGTGACTCAGGAAGTTAAGAACTCGTAATGGCGCTATAGCAGTGAGCCGCTTTGTCGATAATTCTCTCAAAATTGGCAGGCCTCAGTGCATCGTAAGCTGGAGAAGAGCGTTAAAAGTGTTGGCAAGCTTTGAGCCGAAAGTGTTGATGATCCCCCATTACATGGAGAAACTCCCCGCCATCATACTGGTATTGTTGTTCTCTTTGGGAAGGAGTTGCGAAATGGAGCGACAAACAAGAAAAAAAGAAATAGACCGCCCATGAAGAAAAAACGAAAAGAAGCGGTTGCAGTCAATATGAATAAGAACTTCCCAAGTCTGATTGTTGAACTGTTTGAAAGGTAGGGGTCCGTTTCAGGTCTCCTCCCCACGTGAGGTTAAAATTGTTCACAACCCAGCCGACTGACATTTCACAACGGCAAACATGAAATTCACGAAATTTGTTTAATTACCCTTGCATTTTTCCCATCTCTCAGTGAGTGGTCCTGCCATGTCTTCCCCAAATAAGTTGCCCTTTCACCGAATACGATCCTCGATCACAAAATGCTACCCCCTCGCTCACCGTTTCACTCGTGGTAACGGAGCGTTGGTACTGCTTCCATATACTTTCGATGTTGGTGACCTCTCCGTCCCACAACAGAAACTGTTCTTGTAAAATCACAAGCTTTGCGTGGCCGTGTTGCGGCAGTAAACGGTGGCGGCAGCATCTGCGATAGTGATCTCGCAACCGGTGGAGTGAAGGAGTACGAGAGTACGGCCTTGAATCAGCTGTTTTCAGAAACTCCTCTGTGTTCATTGGACCACTCCCGCTTTGAACACGAACAGAAACGTTCAATCGAGTGAGACTATCACCCGTAAGTTATTAAGTACACAAGTTGTTACATGGGCAAACTGGGGTTAGGATCAAATTCGTGTGGTAATCACACACAACATGAAGGTAAGGTTGCGAGTTGGACACATAATTGGGAACAACATAAAAAGGCTCGTCAAAAACAGAAAATACGAACCTCTTTGCTCCACTCAGCGAGAAATACAACTTGTAAGAAGGAGACAGTGAAGTGAATAAATGCTGAGGGAAAAGACGTCCCAGTGAAAGACCATAGTAGGTGAGCATTACGCCGTTGATAACATATTGAATGGTGGGCAGGCAGGGATCTTCCTGTTTGCAAGAGGAGTCAAGTCAAGAGTTTAAGTCCTAGACTTCTAGCGTCTTAGCGACCCGTTCACAGGTGCGAAATGACGCCAGCACTACGTGGTGGAACTGGAACATCTATTCACGGGAAGGACTTCATCATGAGGCACAGCCCCACCCTTGGCTTTGAAGCATGGGACAGAGAAGCAATAAGAACGGCATTTATGTCATTACGATGATGCGTAACACCTGCTCAGCTTCCCTGAATCCTAGATGGCCCACACTACGGTTGTCATAGAGTCTTTCCGCGGCAGCAATAAAATCCCTCATAATTTCATTCAGATGACGTTCTGGACCGCTAATGAATTCGAGATTTGTATTTTATGAGGCGTGTGACAGTTGCGAAGGAATATTTATTCGACACTTCTAAGAGCTGACAAATCAAATGCATTTTTCCACTCAAAGGTCATACCTAAATTTAAACAGGGAAGGGTATACTTGTACATATATCTAATAGAAAAGAATAGGAGGGGATGTGCGCCGCAAGCAATTCACTTCTTAATCGGCCCAAGCCAATGAGGCCTTCCAAGGCAATGTCTTACGTGGCTACTGGTGAATTTACTCTCCACAATGTCCTTCTGAGTCTTTTTCCTAAAATGGGGGTCGTTTCAGCAGCAGTGCGCACCACGTGCGCACTTCTAGCAGGTTTCAGCTCACAACAATCACCCTCAGTTGCGGTGCACTACAGACTTCGTCATTCCCCCGTGCGAAGGCGCTCTGCGTAGAAGCTCAAGTATGAAACACAGGATGACAAAGGAAATGAGACGGCAAAAAATCAGAGAAGGCTTTCATAACAAGCTTTTCCTTTCCCTGGACCATAAGGGATTGAGAAACAAAGCAACCACTAGCCGCTGTTCGCTAAAGGTCAAATGGAAACGTGAGAGCATGGAAGCGATGAGCGAAACAGCAGTTACCGCAACGGTGGGCAAGGGTATGTGGCTGCCTTAGCTGCCCATGGGTGCACGTTGCGAAGCTCAGATGGTGTTTTCCACTCATTTTGGGTCACGAAACTGGTGCCATCTCTGCGAAGGCGAACACAGTAAATTCGCAGAAAAGATTGGTCCAGCGATCTAGGCGGGTTGCTTAGAGCTTTGCGCAAAAACTGCAGCGCTGTTAAGGAAAAAGGTTATTCGTGACTATTCTTACCCATACAGACGAAAATTCGTCAGAATGCGAATGAAGAAGGAACAGCGAATTTGCGCGCGTCCACACTTTTTTATTAGGCGGTGGCATTTACCTTAGCCGTTTATGTGCTTTTTAAGCAGTTACTTTGACAAGGTAATACAGAATACATGAGTCAATGTACTTGGTTCTTTACCACCTTTTGCTACTTCTCTAACAGGAACTGAATTCCGCCACGAAGAAACTTACTTTACTAAAGAAATCAGTTTTTTCAGCGACTCGAATGTGTACTTCTGCGAAGATCATAGAACAACAAAACTCCTCGATCGCTCGATCGCGTGACGGTGTATGTAAGGCCTTAGATAAAGTTTAGTGGTAAGACGCTCTTAATCAGGTTCCATCTCTGTTGCTTAACCAAAGAAGGAAAAAACGCAGCAACACGGTCTCAGAGCAGCTGCTAGAGCCGTGGGGTGTGACGATGAAAATCGTCTCTACTATTCTTTTTAGACTGTTGGCCTTCCTTATCTCAATCAGTTAGATACGTTCCTGACTATGGACTGCAGTACTCGAAGGTGATCTTTCTATTTGCTTCAAATGTCAGAAACAGAAAAGTCTTCCACTACGAAAATATGTTACTTATTTAATTGTATATTTCATACTCATGTGAGTGGCACTGTTGTTGAGCACTAGACCAAGACTATAAGCATGGAAATCTGAGTGAAAAGTAAGTTAAACTGAGGGTAAAAGGCCAGGTAATGCTATGTTTGCGTTAGAATGAATTTACGTATAAT